TATAGTCTTTGCCTCCAAAATTGCCCATAAAAAGTTAAAATAAAATCATGCACCAAACAAATTTAAATAATAATTTTTTTTATTTTTAAAAACAGTTCACAAGTCAACACCATTCTAATAGTGGTGGACTCCACCAAAATTAGTTTGCCAACCCTAAGATTGTTGGTGACCTGATCATAAAACTACATAAAAAAATTTCTAACATGAGTTGTAGGGGTAAATATGTGTACAAGAATTTTATAATGGGCGCCTTATATATGGCGTTTAGGTGAGGCCCTATCTTTTAATCGTTGGATTAAATTTGTTAGCTGTTGAATTAAATTAGTCAGTATGATCCAACGGTTCAGAGAATGACTCAATGCGTGTAACTACTTAAGCTACAAACTCTTGCAAATTTGGGATTTTGTTATAATTGATGGATTAGCATAGGAGTCTAAATAGTAGGGGTCATGGGCCATGGAATGGAGCCTCCCAAAACGGGCTAAATAGATTCGCCCATGGGCCGAATCTAATCTCAATTGTAATATCTATCCCCATCCTTTTTTGGTCGAAAATACTTGGGGAGATTACGTGTTGGACTGCGCGCCTTCACCTGTCGAGGTAGGTGGTATGGTCCGTCTGAACCCTTTTCGCCACGTGACCAAACCCTTGACCCAATCACCGCCGATTATTATGGACCCCACATTTAACTTGCGCCCGTCCACCGCAAGTTGAACTTGTTGGGACCCACCCATTGCGATGGAAGCAAGTTGTTTTGGCAAAGCGGCAAGCCTCGCTGGCTCGTGGGTTTCAACAACCATAATAAAATAATAATATACATGTGAGTGATACTATGTGTCTCGTGGCATGATCGCATGATTGATCATGCTCTCTCTTTAATAAAGTTTTTATAATTTTGGACCTTCCAGGGCAAAGCTGGGGGTGCTGCTGACTGCTGCTTAATATCAAGATAATGTTAAAATATGGGATTTGCAAAAATATTATATGTCTCGTGTAGAAATTGTTTTGGGCCGTTCAATTTGAATTGTATATAATAATATATGTGCTGGTACGCATAAGCTCTAGTTAAAAATATGGCAGCAATTATTGGTTTTTTAACCCGAGGCCACGCTCGGATTCGAACTTGAGACCATTTTGCGTCATGTTGTTTCTCCTCTTTCACAATTATGTATGGAGTAACTTTAGATAATCTTGTATGCTCTTTATATGTATGAGTGTAGACAATCGTGAAAGATGATCTTTTGAAGTACCAAAATCATCTCCCTTGTATTCATTAACAAGCTTCGAAACATTCTGAGTATATCTGATGCTCTTAATCATTGGGTTTAATCTGTCCCTTCCTTGGAACAGTGAGAGCAAACTGTACTTTACAGCGATTGAGTTTTGGTCCCTAAAAATTGCTTACAATATGTATATGTGTGACTAGGTAGGTGCTCTTGTTGGTGCAAACGTGCAGCTACCTCACAACTTCATTGTCTTTATGTATGCCCATTCATTTGGTATGAAAAAAATGTGGAATTTCATCATAAACGTGACCAAGTTGAACTTTTTTTGGGGACCGAGAAACAAAAATACAATCAGGATTCCTTAAGATATTCCTGCGATTATATGTAAATATTAGAGAGCTTCAGTTAAGGGATTCCTCAAATAAACTTATTTGAGGGACACCATTGTCGGGCTCACTATGCATTGTATTTCACTAATCCAAATAATCTATTTTATAGATATTCATTCAAGGATCATATATACAAAAAAATCACTTGAATCCGATATCATTTGACCACAATTAAATTACTGAAATTTGAGTACTTTCTTGAAGTACCGTGTTTATTAATTGGAAAATTTTGTAGGACACAATTAGATATCGAAAGGATTTCCGATTTGTCTAATTTTTTGCAAGGATGATCTGTGAATGTATACTTAAAATATAGGTAGTCTGGATCGTTAAAAAAAAAAAATTGTTGTTAATCCTAAATGGTGTCCCTCAAATAAAATTATTTGAGAGATCCCTCAATAGAATGGAACTATATATATATATATATATTAGCTTTAAGGAGATGGAAAACATAAAATTAGCATACTAAATACAAATATTATGCACACATATACTTCTTTCAATCAGAATCTTGCTTCACGATAGACGTGTAATACATGAAGAATCTGTAAGCCTTCCATGAGCATATTGAGGTTGAATATGCGCACTCACACATACTTCTTTCAAATCAGAATCTTGCAGGAAACACACACGAGTCTCCTTAGCTAGCAGAACAGTTGCCGGAAAGCAAAAATATAATGAAATTTGACTGTTGGTGGTGTGTGATTTGGACTAAACTATTTTTGAAAAAGAAATTGTATGATTTGACTAACGATAATGACCCGTGATTTCAAAACCTTGATAGGGTTCTAGCTGTCAAGTGGATGTTAAGGGTTAATCCTTGTGCTTAGTGAGGATTTTCAATTTGATCCACGCGTTTTTTAATTGGTCAATTTAGCTCATGTGTTTACTATGTTAGTCACACACGTGGTTCATATATATAACTCACACATAGGAATAAATTAGAGTCTAATTAGGCAGAATTGACCAAATTGGTCAAATTCAAGACTGGTGGACTAAAATAAAAATTCAAACAAAATACTAGAATATGAAAACCAAGTCATCGCCCAATAAAGCGCCTTTTTGTGTGTGGAAATTTACATAAATATATGAATGGAAAAATAGAAATGCTATGCTGCTAAAAAAATGCTATGTTTGTTTGTTTGTTTTAATTATATATATATATATATTTTTTTTTTTGTTCGAGTTTTTGGGGTGGTTAAGTTGATCTCTATTGTACTCATCTCACATGCATGCTACTTGAGTCCCATATTTATGATAGTGAAAATTCAGTTTAATTTCGTTATATCCGATGGTAAGAGAGGACGAATAAAATCGACTACAAGAACTTAAATGAAGAGAAAAATGTTCGTAGCCACATTTGATACAAACTCACCAAAAAAAAATACTAATAGATATCTTGAAATTCACCATTGAAGATGTCAAACCTGAAGATTCAGTAGTGGTAAATAAAACATAAGGAGACATGTATAATTAGTAGTTAATTTTTTTTTTAATAAATACAATCAATATTTTAAATTGAAATTGGGTTCTCTTTGGAAAAAGTGAAATTCTTTTGAGTTTATTATAATTAAAATAAATAAATAATTGAATATATATAGTAAGTGTAACGCGACCTTAAATAGAATACAAAGGTCAGATATAGATATATTTAATTGGATTATAAGCATGATGCATGGAATCAAGAAATTCAATGTACTCATCTCTTTTACTAAACAGTGAATATAAAATTTTCCCATAACAAGTTTTATAGTTAAACATCGAATATAAAATTCTTCCATAACAAGTTTATATAAACAGTGAATATAAATTTTTTAAAAACTATGTGTTGTAAAGCTAAGTTTTTAGAGATATTTAGTGATATACCCTACACCATTGAATTTCTATAAATAAACCCAAAAAATGACAGCTGTCCTTATTGAATTTAATATTAATTATTAAATTACTTTGATGCCCTATTGAGTGTTTTGGGTATTTTTATTAGATTTTAGGGTTAAGTTTGTTTTAAGAAATTGATGGCAGTTTTGTAATTTATAAGAAGTTAAAAACCTATTTGATATGTTATAAATGGGTTTTGAGTGTGTTTCTAAAGTCCATTTCATATGGGGTATTTTTATAATTTGGACCTCTATATTGAGTATAATAGTGAATCTCCCAAGTTTTTATACATCGGTCACTCATACTACCAACAATATGTCATTCAATCAATTATCAAACTATATGTTTCACACTACCAACAATATGTCATTCAATCAGTTATCAAACTATATGTTTCACATTGTAGAACATATGTTTAATAGAAATGAGATCCGCATGTTGGTAGGCTCCATTTTTATTAGAGATGCGATTGTTCTAACATTACTTTTGATTGAAATCCTTATTTTCTTCATCCTTCATCTAGTAGACCCACCAACCTACCATTCAACAGTATTCAAGGCAATTAGCGATTTGGGCACTAACTCGACCCAAATTGCAGAGTGCCCATGTTGCTAAATAATATATATTAAATTTCATTGTAGAAAATATCTTTTTTGAGATAAAGTCAATATATTGCATTTATAATTCAAGTATAAAGGCTGTTAGCCACAAGAGCTGGTACAAATATAGATAACCACTCCCTCCGTTTGGATGAAGGAATTGAAAATTACGTATAATTCTAAAATGACGTAATTTAGATTTCCATCATTTTAATTTATGGCAATTGATGATTTTAGTGTTTGAATTTATGTATGTTGAATTTGTAAATGGCAGTATGGAAATTGTGAAATAACGCATATTTTAATGGAAATTATACTCGGGAAATTAAGATAATTTAATAAATTTCGTGCTTAAGTTACCAAACAAGGGGATTGTTAATTTCTCCTTTCAAATTCCCGACTTTGAGCTAAATTTTGAATTATTTTCATTCAACCAAACAGAGGGAGGTTATTACAAATATGAAAGTGTAGTAACCACAAAGGGTTAATCCAAATACGGAAGACTCCACCGGCAACATTAAGTGCACAAGTATACCTTCACAAATAGCCATAGAAAACAAAGATTCGGAGAACTCCACCGGCAATATTAAGTTCACAAATGTACCTTCATAAATAGCCATAGAAATTCCGACAAATAGCAAATACCTATTTGCACATAGGTCATACAAATCTATTATTATAATTCAAATATCTTCATCTTGGATGTAAACAACCAGTTTTTTTATTTTATAGAGTTGATGAATTAAAATATAATTTATGGCTCCAATTTGAAAAACCACTACTGCAGATGATTCAAGCCAAGAGCCAACCATAGGAGGGACGGACGGCGGAAGCACACATCATCAATGAGTGATTTCACATCCCACAAATTTATAACCCCACATGTAACTTTCAGAGGCCTCCAAAGCATCAAAAAGTGAAAAATATCTCAAGGGTTTTTTCTGTTTCAGTTTTGGCCTAACTCAAGGGCGTTTTGGTCGTCTTACAAAGCAGGTGCATTTTGGTCAATGTACTTGCACAGGAATCATTCTTTGGCTAACTTGTCTTGTGGGATGCTTTTTAGACTGCCCGACTGTCTCTGACCCATCCATTTTCCGTATTTGCCTCCGGTCACGGTTTCACTTCCTTTTGTGTTAAATTGTGTTTAGAAAAAAAAAAAAAAAAAAACTTGTCATCTTGTTAACAGATGGAGTATTTGATTTGTGGGTTAGGAACAGATTGAGAGAAATTAAGCTCTGCACTTGCTGAAACCCTTTTTTGATTAACATTTCAGGCTGGGAAAAAAAAATCTCTAGAGTTTTTGTTTTTCCTTTCTCAACCTTTGAAAGGGGCTGTTTGGTTTGTTTCTTCATTTGGTATAAATAGATATTTGTATCCACCCTTTACACTCTCTCTGAAAATCAAATCTTTTTTCTTCAGCCACCTTATCTTCCTCACTTCCCTTATCTGTGTCTCTCTTCATGTTCTTCTCTTGAAAAAACCTACTTCTGGATTTTCTTGAAGGGACCTAAGAGAGACATGGATGCTGTTTTGCAGACCAAAGGGCTTCTCTCCCTGCCTTTAAACCCCAAGACCAGAGCGTTTCAATCTTCTCTGGGCTTAAAGCAAAGATCTTTCTCCACAAAACCCAAAATCCCAACTGGGTTATCTTTGTCGTCAAATGGGTTACAGAAATTTCAAGGCTTTGTCTCAAATACTCATGGGTTTGGCACAAAAGAGAGGAACTTGTTCATCTGCAGGGCTGAAGCTGCTGCTGCTGCTGCTGCTGATGGGCAGCCAGCATTTGGGGAAACTGAGCAGCCCAAGTTCTTTGGTATTGAGGCTGTAACCTTCAAGAAGATTGTTCCACTTGGGTTGATGTTCTTTTGTATCTTGTTCAATTACACAATCCTCAGGGACACAAAGGATGTGTTGGTTGTAACAGCTAAAGGGAGTAGTGCAGAGATTATACCATTTTTAAAGACCTGGGTGAACCTGCCTATGGCTGTTGGCTTCATGCTGTTGTACACAAAATTGTCTAATGTGTTGTCTAAGAAGGCTCTCTTCTACACTGTTATGCTTCCATTTATTGCCTTTTTCGGGGCATTTGGATTTGTCTTGTATCCTCTCAGCAATTATATCCACCCAGAAGCGCTTGCTGATAGCCTGCTCAACACTCTTGGCCCAAGGTTCCTTGGTCCACTCGCAATCTTGAGGATATGGAGCTTTTGTTTGTTCTATGTCATGGCTGAATTGTGGGGGAGTGTGGTGGTTTCTGTGCTTTTCTGGGGTTTTGCCAATCAGGTAATTTCCTTGTCGTGTGATTCATGTCTGCATAATCGGGAATTGATTGCTTGCCAATCAGGAATATAATTTTAAAGATGAGTTGATGTTTATTTCATGATTTGATTCCTTGTGTACCCATACACGTTTTCTGGATTGGTTATCATTTTTTCCAGTCTCAGTTTCTTAACATATGGTTGGTACATATGTTGTTTGTTTTATAGATACTGTTTAAAAACGAGGAATTATTTAAAACCTATATACGTCTGTATACTGTGTCAGTTTATAAAAAAATGGAAGTGAAATGTGTTTTGAGATTGGAATTGGAGGCTTGATTTTTCTCAGTTATCCGATTGTGAATGGTGCTCTGTTCTATCCTTGTTAATTAAACAGGAAAAAATTGATCTCGCTTTTTAGATGGCTTTCTCTTCTATTTGCCACAGCAGACTGGACAAGGATTAACTTTCGCCTTAAAAGGTGCATGCTTTTGAAGCATGTGTTATATCTTGTGATATGAATGATTCATATCAAAATTTATTTTTCCTATTTGTAATGACCCCATTTGAGTCGAATCGTATGCCAAGATATGGATTCTTATAGAATACAAGAAATGATCGCTGAAGTTTTCATTAGTCTGAATTTAAGGTCTTCGCCCTAATGTTAATGACTGGAACTTAAATAAATAATGTTGCATGGATTTTATGCAGATAACTACCGTTGACGAAGCAAAAAGATTCTACCCCCTTTTTGGACTGGGAGCGAATGTTGCTCTTATTTTCTCAGGCAGGACAGTGAAGTATTTCTCTAATTTGAGGAAAAATTTGGGTCCTGGAGTTGATGGTTGGGCCCTGTCCTTAAAGGGGATGATGAGCATTGTTGTGTTGATGGGGTTCACAATCTGTTTCCTGTACTGGTGGGTAAACAATTATGTTCCTCTTCCCACCCGCAGCAAGAAGAAGAAGGTAATCTTCCGCAACAAGACTATCTTGTTAATCGTATTTGAATTGTGTTGATAAGTTGGCTGCCTGAATCTGTTCAATTTTGGCCCCTTCTGTTCATATTAGTCTGTTCTGTTTATCTGCATTACTTCTTATCATGGCACCATCTGTTAATACGTTGCTGGGAAGTTGAAAAAATAACATAATTTTGTTTACTATCTTATTGTGGACACTGATCACTGGTCATTGTTGAAGCGACCTGAATCCCATACCAATATTTTTATAATTGGCCAATTTCGTATTCTCTTAAGTTTGGTTAACAGGGTGCTGAAATGAATTCGCAATGCTTGAAAGATATGTTGGTCACTGGTCATATATATTGAAGAAAGCTTGTGATTTCCGGTTTATCACAAAATTATGAACTTTAGTTGAATATGATGGACGGCAGCTTTTTAAACTTCTATTTACGTTGCAGGAGAAGCCCAAAATGGGGACAATGGAGAGCTTGAAATTTTTGGTGTCTTCAAGATACATCAGAGATCTTGCCACTTTGGTGGTTGCATATGGTATTAGCATCAACCTCGTGGAAGTTACATGGAAATCAAAGCTCAAAGCTCAGGTATGCCTTAGCTGGGTGACTTAATCTTTGTCTATATTATGAATTACTAATTGATAATCCTCACTCTTCTTGTTCCACTGTGAGTTGTGCAGTTTCCAAGCCCGAATGAGTACTCTTCTTTTATGGGTGACTTCTCAACTGCCACTGGAATAGCAACTTTCACAATGATGTTGCTCAGTCAAGTTATATTCGAAAAATATGGATGGGGAGTTGCTGCGAAGATCACACCTACAGTTCTACTTCTGACTGGAGTTGGTTTCTTCTCTCTGATCTTGTTTGGGGGTCCACTTTCACCTGCTATTACAAGCCTTGGGATGACTCCACTCCTTGCAGCTGTATATGTGGGTGCTTTGCAAAACATTTTCAGCAAGAGTGCCAAGTACAGCTTGTTTGATCCGTGCAAAGAAATGGCATACATTCCCTTGGATGAGGACACCAAGGTTTGGACTCATACTCACAACTCAGTGTTTTAGATTTTGGCTTAACCAGTAGTTTAGGGAGATTTTAATTAGGGACCTCTTTAAAGGAGAGGTTGCAGTCATCTTGGAATCATATTTATCAGGAAAAGCTTCGTGTTTTCTAATTTGAGTTTCATTTTGAGCCCTTTCGTGTTTATGTTCCTTGTCAACTTCTTGCTGTAGGTTAAAGGAAAGGCAGCCATTGATGTTGTCTGCAACCCATTGGGGAAGTCTGGTGGTGCTCTGATTCAGCAGTTTATGATTTTGACCTTCGGGTCACTCGCAAACTCAACACCTTACCTTGGAGGTGTACTTCTGCTGATTGTTCTTGCATGGCTGGGAGCAGCCAGGTCTCTAGACACCCAGTTTACTGCATTGCGACGGGAAGAAGAGCTCGAGAAGGAGATGGAAAGAGCGGCAGTCAAGATCCCAGTAGTGGCTCAAGAGGGAAGTGGGAACGGTTCTCTTGCCAGCGATTCAGTGTTGAACCCAACAGCAGGAGACAGCGGTTCCTCTGGACCTCCCCGCAACATATAATGTTTCCGGTTTAATCGCCAGATGGGAAGACCAAATAGGGTTGATGAGAAGCAATATTGGTGAAGTCTTGGTTGTAGGATCTTAGTTTGCTTTAAAAATAAGCATGCTTATGACTTCTTTTAAAGTCCAGTTTTTTCCTAGATATTGAAATTACCTTCAGTTTAGTTAGTTTTCAGTTCCTATATTTTGTAGAATTAGATTGAATTTACACCAATGGAATAAACCTAGTTGATTCATTATTACAAATATATTCTTGTTGCAAATGTGACATCAAATTTGGGCAGGAGGGGTAGATTTTGATTTAACAGACTAAATTCTCTTATAAATTTCTTTACTACAAATCTCATGAAAAATTACATTTTTTTCCTTTCTATCAAAGAGTGATTTAAAATTTGGAATTTCTTTCGACATTAAAAAGGAAAATACCACCAGACTAGGCTAGACTAAATTAGCTAATTAGGATCATTTGATATTTTGCCCCTCACCGACCCCCGGCCTGCTACGTTGGAAGGTGATAACAGCGGCAAATTTTATTAATGAAATAATTTATAATAATAGAAAAAATCTAGGGTGTTGGGATTTTAGCCATTTTCAAATTATTATTTTTTAAATAAAAAGGTATGGTGATGACTTGCGGGACTTGGACTGCTCGAATCCATGCAAAATCTCCACCGAGGGTGTTTGCCCCTTGCGGATACTTTTTGCTCTGGGGACGAACATTTTGTATGAGAGTTCAAAATTGATGACACCTAAGAGCCGTTTGATTCGTACAATCAACTTCTTGGGGATAAAACTCTCATATCTAATGTCATGAACTGAAAATGAAAGATGTACATTCATGTATTTGAGAACGCTGAGAAATGAAGATGATGACAACAAAATTAAATTTGCTATTAAAAAAAACTTGAAAGAATTCGATTCAATGTATTTGAAATAACTAGATGTAATGCATTTGAAATGACCATATATGCAAGGAGTAGTTGAATGCATTTGTTTTCATTATTTCTTTCTTATTCAAAAATCTTGACATACATGAATTGCAGTAGTTTAATATTACAATTTAATTTTATATGTCTAAATCCTTCGATCTGGAATCTTCCCATCCAAATGGACCCTTATTTCTATTTATTAAAAATTACCAAGAGCGCACATACCAAACATGAGAACACAATTTCATACATATTCTCAAACTTCTAAACCTTGAACCAGTCACATAATAAATTGTTTAGGAATGAATCCCATGTCTATTTCCCTAGAGGCAAGAATGGAAGATTATCATTTCCATATCTGGAAATGCTGGGAAATGATTACTAGGAAAGACCTTTTATTTCTATTCCCATTTTTGGTTTGTATAGTATTCACATGTTAGGTATTAGATTCCTTCAAAAGTATTTACCAAATATGATAACGACATCTTATACCTATTTTTAAGCTTCTAAACCTTGAACCAAACATAGAGCATAACCATTGTGGGAGCTCATTGGAATCAAATTGGGCTCCACAACTGGAGAAACCCAACAACAATGTGATGGAGCAAATGGGCTGTTTTTCGTGGAGTCATTCAACATTACTAATTCTAGAGTTGAAAATTCAAATTGACTTCTTGAACCTTCTACATTGTTCTTTGAACTGGATATTAAACAGCTACGATTCTTGGCCCATTGCCTTTGCTTAATGGGCTTCTCTCTACGTTGTTCTACCAATATAATGGCGCTCTAAGACGGTGTTCGGTGACTAAGATTGAATTGGATTTAAAATAAAAACACTAATTTAATGATGTGTTTTGTACTACAGATGATTAAGGGATTCGATTAATTGAAATGTGCTATTAGATGATTTAGTAGGATTAAACATAATCCAATCCAACTTAATCCCAACCTTTTGATATATGTTGGCTTTGGGCTAGCATGAGCCAAGTGGGCCCATACCAAAAATAGTGGGGCCCTGCGCACCCAGACGGGCCAGAGCTGCAGCTGGTGTTGGCAGGGCAGCAGCTAGCTATAGCTACCATCCAAAGTTAGGAACAAGAACGGAAGTTCACGTGCTGGTTGTTATGCAAAATACAAGAACAGGAATCACAAAAAGAATACGAAATTGGCTCATACATTCGGCAGCAATATCCCATCACCTTCTTATTTTGTATCCACATTTCTCATTATTCTCGAGGTGATGTTGATTTTTTCCTCTTCTTACATCTTTTTCTTTTCCAACAATTAGGCAATCTAAGTTGTTGAATCTCCAAAATTCACAAAAAGTTTCATCTTCTTTTTGGGAGAAACGGTAGTAGTATGTATGTCGTATGTATGTGTTGTATTTATCGACTACATTGCTGATCATATATTTTTATGGAAGTGAAACATGCTCATGTTCTAAAGAGATAAGTCATATCTCCAAGTGCATATATGGCACAAAATAATGGCATTGTCGTCAAGTCGGTAGATACTCCTCATAGTTTTACCATGTCCATGAGCAAATTTTTAGAGAGAGAGAGAGAGTTTTGTTAGGAGTCTCTTTCAATCTTGGTGGTGTTATAATGAATTTTTGTTCTCCATGTCAGAGAATGAGACGTTGCGTGTCATAGGCAAGGAATATTTCACTATTTTGCATTTATAACACTTGTCTTCTCTCTCTCTCTCTCTCTCTCTCTTTTATCCATGCATCTTCCTCCTCACCCATCCATCCAGCCATCCATCTTGCTCTTACACTACACTGGAGTACTATACTATGCCATTACTTTCAGACAAAAAAAAAATTAAAAAATACTATGCCATTACTTAAATCTCAAGCCACCCATGTCCTTTTCTCTTGATCTTTCACCCAATTCAAGGGCATTATCGATATTTCAACTCCATGCCAACACCAAAAATTACTTTCACTCTCTGTCATGTAAAGAAGTGTAACTACATGAACCATATATAAACACCCCACAACTGCCCCTTCCATTTACCCGTTGCACCCGAAAAAAAAAAAAACAAATGACAAAAAAAAAAGACTTGAAAGAATCCGCCCCTTTCCCCGGAAAACCCTCCCCATTT